CTTATGAATGATTTAATTTGTTTTCGGTGTTGTTATTGCCAAATTTGAAGCTCACGAAAGACAAAAATATGTCTTAATACATTATAAGAAATTTGGGAAGAACATATGGTAGGTTTCACAAAGAACAGTAAACTTAGCTTGAAGTTTCGGATGATGGACAAGTTAGATTTTGAGGCTGCTACATAACCTTCAATCGAACATATGATGCATATATGAGTAAACATATCACAAATAAGATCTGAAAATAGAAAATGATAGAAAACATGTATTTGAGCAAAAAACCTTACCGGTCAGTTAATATGTAAGCGTATTGTTATCGGATCTATAGGGGTGCTGGGTGCGAATTTGTGTTGTAGATCGGTCAAAAGATGTAGTCGGCGAAGAAACACGGTTTCGAGTATAATAGAATAAGCTCGAGGAAGATGGTGTTGTCGGCAAGACGTCAATCTACCGCGAGAGGCCAACTTAATAGCTCATCACTTGGCAAGAACTGGACTGCTCTCTTCCAAAAACAGCAAAGCGAGCCTATCAGGATGACTTGGATGGTCTCACTATCTCTCGACATCCGAGTTAGAGAGCGGAGAATCGATGGAAGCTCACCGCCTCGATCTTGGGCCATGTGTATTTTGGCCCACAGTCTATTTCTTTTATTTTAACCTTCTATTGTAATACGAGTATTGTTTTGAAGCTAGACATTTATACTCTTCTTCTATCCTTTTTAATACTCCTTCGTCCCATTATTTCCGTAAATTAATGATCTATTACATGTGTTTTCTTTTAATTGCAACATTAGACATTTTGCACTAATCACATATTCTATTTTGACTATATTTCATTTATTAATGTATTGTAAATTAATTTTTTTAAATATTATTAAAATCTTCTCATTTTAAAATTTCAAAATCTGAATTTTAAATTTTTTTACTAATAAGAAATGAAAGATATTAATGGTCAAGTATGTGTGTTGCCAAACGTGAAAAAAAGGACTGTTGCAATTAGAAAGGAACGGATGAAGTAAATTTTAGGCAGCTAATTAAGTAAAGTAATTTTGGTAAAACGAAAAAATTCGGAAAAACAAAATATATAAAGTGCAAATAATTAAAAGGGGATAAGTTGATAGGGTGGACCGGACACTATCAAACTTGATATGTAATGAGTAAGAAAAAGAAATTTCAGTAAAAGTGTCATTGAATAGAGTAAATTATTTTCTAAAATAAAATTAGAACCTTTAAACGAGACACTAAAAAAGAAAAATGTGAATCTTTCAACGGGACGAAAGAAGTATATATTAGGTAAATGTTCTCCAACATTTATCACACCTCGCAAGGTTTTATTTTTTTCGGGATAAAAGAATCACATATATAAAATCATGACTTGCATAATCAATTTTAATGGTTATAATTTTTCTTAATATCGTAGTAATAATTACCGATTCAAATAAATATATAAACTTTAACGAAACAAAGAAAAATGTAAAGAACGATATCTGCAGATCTGCTAGATCCGTAGGCAGTGAATGTTGTACATACAGAACTACGTTTTGATTCTTTGAAAACGTTTATTTGATGAAATGTTTCGCTGTGGACGTGTAGTGGAGGGATGTATTCTTTCCATTGTCAAATAACTTTGAATGATGGAGGAGACTGAACTCGAAGGATGATAGGTTAATTCATGGAAGTTACTGAAATTTAGTGCCTGTTTGGTAACCATGAATTTTGGCTATTCAAGCTTATAAGAAATTTTTTTCACCAAAGACGTAATTTTTTGTTTTACAGACTGAATTGTGTAATAATAAGAAAAAGTAAGGTTGAAGTTACTTTTCTGGATTTATTGGCTGAAGTTAATGTAGATGACCATTTTAGCTATTTTTCATATAATTTTTTCTTTGTTTTATTAATAAAATGTATTTTAAATTATTGTTTTTCACAAATCAGCAAAATCAGCCAATACAGCCACATCAGTCAGAACTTAATAAATTTCAGCAGTATAAGCCAATACAGCCAATTTGGCTACTACAAAACGGGCTCTTAGAGTCTTTCCTGATACTGAAATTAGTTTAATCGGTTGAATGTCTTTATGTCTTTAAATTGACGAAAAATTGGTTCAAACCATTGAATTGAGTGAATTTGCTGAAATACGGGAAAATCATATTTGGAACATATATGATATTTTATTAATACGTAATAAGTTAAAGAAAACAAATTAGAAAATGACAAAATATTATAGCTACGATTTAGATTATAAAAATATGACTACTCTTTTTTTTTTTAATGTGCCCAACTATGTACACACCCCTGCCTGTACGTTACACCCCCCCTACCCACTGCCTCGCCCAGCAGCACCTGCCACCCGCCAGCTAACATCAGAAACCGTCGGCCACCGAAAAGTTCATTGAAAATTAAAAAGTAATTTATAAAAATAAGACTAAAATTACTATGAATAGAATATTATTCTGACATAATGTGAAAGTTGAACATAAGTTATGTGACTAAAGTAACTACTATAGTAACCACATTTAAGAGACCACACTTTCATAAATAAATTTTATTTTAGTCATAATTATGTTATTATTTAAAAAAAAGTATGCAAAAATACATAAGTTTGTCCTCTACAATAGTAGAAAGACTTATTCGAACATTTTCACTAAAAAAATATACTACCTCCGTCCCAAAATTAGCTTCCCGTTCGGTTTACGATGCTTGACTGGCGATAAATCAACTTGATCCCTGTTCACACTCGGATTATTTTTAGTAAATAAAATTTGCATATTCAGAAACTACATTAAAACCGCCACAAAGCCTGATAAAAAAAATTTAAATTTGATAAAAAAAATAGATATCTATTAATATATAAAAGCACACTTTTTTTATGAATAGGGTTCCCTCCAAGAAATGTCAACATCAAATTTTATTGTAATTTTTCATCAAAAGTAATTGTAAAAATCTATTAATATATAAAAGCACACTTCTTTGATGAATAGGGTTTCCCCCCAAAAATATCAACATCATGCTTTTGTTCATGTTTCCATTAAAAAAAATTGCAAAATCCTTAAACAAATGTCAAAATAAATACAATACAAAATAATTAGTCTGTATAATCTAAAGATATTACATCCATTAGAACATGAAGTTTTGTAAGCAACCAAATCCTATTGGTACAAAGATGTAAAAAAGTATTTTGAACATAGTAACTATGCTTAACATGTCACATTTTCATAAACAACCTTTATTTTAATCGTATTTATGTAATCATTTAAAAAAGTTATATACATATATACCTAAATAACATTATATGTATAAATACTTATTTGAAGATTTTCTCATAAATTTATATTTAAGTTTAGTTTAGGAAGGACATAACACATTTTCACATATCTGCACACCCCCTGATTTGCCTGGTTACATCAGCAATTCGTTCAAATAATGCAATTCGTATAGATAAAGACAAAACACATTTTCACATATCCGCACACCCCCTGATTTGCCAGGTTACATCAGCAATTCGTCTAAATAATGCAATTCGTATAGACAAAGACATAACACATTTTCACATATCTGCACACCCCCCGATTTGCCAGGATACATCACCAATTCGTATAGATAAAGATAGAGACATAACACACTTTCACATATCTGCACACCCCCTGATTTGCCAGGTTACATCAGCAATTCGTCTAAATAATGCAATTCGTATAGATAAAGACATAACACATTTTCACATATGTGCACACCCCCTGATTGCAGGGTAAATCAGTAATCCGTCTAAATAATACAATTCGTATAGATAAAGACATAACACATTTTCACATATCTGCACACCCCCTGATTTGCCAGGTTATATCAGCAATTCGTCTAAATAATGCAATTCGTATAGATAAAGACATACCACATTTTCACATATTTGCACCCCCCTGATTTGCCAGGTTACATCAGCAATTCGTCTAAATAATGCAATTCGTATAGATGTAATGTCACCATATTATTTAGTAATTATAAAAATTTATACCTTCAGTTAACATATATAGACCTTTGATTTGAAAATGAAAAAAATCTTTGTAAAAAAATACTTGAATGAAGGATTTTAAAAAGGGAAATTTTTTGAATATGAGTAAATAAGTTTGAGAATTCCAAAATAAGATTGTCATGTTTTTTATTGCCAAAATAGGCGTAATTAATGTCAAGCTTGAAAAATATCATCATGCTTAAGGTCCAATTTTGGAATACAAAAAACTTTTTTGTCCTATTTAGTGTAATTTCCCTTTTAACAAGGGTTAATGCTATACAGAAGGTACAAAGAAGTGTTTCATAAAATTTGTCATGGAATGTAATTTGTTTTCAAATGATGTTTATGTTGCGTGTTACTTACTATTTTGCGGACTACAAAAAATAATGTACTACTCTGTAATCATTAGTAAATTGTAATTTATATGTTTCATTTACGTCAAGTTTTATTATTGTATGGAGTATAATTCTAAACAATTCATGAATTACAAGTTTGTTTATTTTTTAATTAAAATGTTGGCTAATGTTAATTATACCTGCGGAATTTCACCAATCGTGCATCGCACATGTATTGATGAAGAAGAAGAAACCACTGAACAAGACTCAGAATGTTGTATTCAAAAAGTGTTCAACAATGTTTAGGGTTACATGAAATGTATATTTACAATGTTATGATTTCTAAGTATTTGTTGGATGTTTTTGATCTTTTAAGTAATGCTTAGTGCTCTCTTTTTAACTATAATATACGGAGTATATTGTAAGTGTGTTTTGTTTATTGCTTGAAGTTATATCAATATTTCATGGAGATAGATACTCTCATCAATTGATAGTGTAATTTGAATTAGTGAACACAAACAAATTTGAAGGAAAATTCTCAGACCGTGCATCGCACGGGTGAGTTTACTAGTTGTGTTTAAGAACACTGAGTGGTTGACATAAATCTTTCTGTTAGAAATAATTTGTTTATTTTTACTATTTTTAGATCTGGAAATAGGAACTGAAAAATCTGGACCGAACCTACCCTTTTCAAACGAGTCGGGTATAGACTGAACCTACCCGCCCGGCCCGTGCACCTCTAGTTTCCACTCTTCCTCGAAACCCTTTTCTTCCTTGTCGCATAAAACCAGACGCATCCTGTACACCCGACCACTGCAAATCCCTTCACTCCCCAAAGTAACTATTTTGCTTCGTCTGACCAATACCTCTCCTAAACGAAGAAGGCAGATTGAATCAAGGATTCTGTTATAGTTTTTACGAGGTATTATTGCTTATTGTTCTGATACACAGTAGTTTGTATTGAAAAACGGATAGATAGTAGTTAAGATGCTAGATTTTGAATGATTTCCTGTTTAGGAATAGGGCGACTTATATATTCACGTGTTTCTGTGAAAAAATCAACTCATTTTATGATTCACAGGTTTTAACCTCTGCAAAACCGACGACTTTAACTCCCAAGAGCTGGTTTAGTTGATTTACAATGGCTAAGAAGCGAGCTAGGCTGACGAACCCGGAGCCATTTCTTGCTGGAGCAGATTCGAATTCAATAGCCTCTACCATCAAACGCTCAAAAGCTCCCAAATCTCACCAGGAACAACAAAAGGTAAAGCCTGAGTGAAGGCTTTCATAGTTTCATTACATAGAAATTTTCTATCTTTTCTCAAATTTACCTATTCTTCAATATGTGAGTGCAGGTTATATCTTCTGGTATGAGCTCCAAGATACTTAAGGAGGCTTTGATTCAGCAAAAAGAGATTGAAGAGGAAGAGGCTCGGGAAGGGAACCATACTGGTTTAGTTATTACAGAAGAACCTGTAGATGAGATTGAGAACGATGGTGATGATGATTTAGACAATTTTTTGGGGTTTTCTGAAACCCAGAGTCAGTATGTTGAGATTGAGGTTCGTACAAGTTATTCAATTTTCCATCTTTTCCTTACTCTATGTTATTTAGCGACATGCATGAGTGCTTCTTTGGAGAAGCTTATAATATTTTGAACTTGTAATATGAACTCCAATACTTTTCAGAAAGAAGTGAAATAATCCCCATTTATTTTCTTTATTTGCTCTTTTGGAGACGAGGAGTATTATGCTATGTGCTCTCGATAGGTATCAGCTTGGCCTATGATGCATTAGCATGGAAGTTTTTGCTACACCATCATAAGTTCCACGTTATTGCTTTGCCAGAATGTTTCATTATATTATAGTTAACTATTTGTGATTAGGGGTACAAACAAGCCAAACTTAAACGTGGGTATGCTTGAGCTTGAGCTTGATAAGAATGTACGAGCTTGAGCTTGAATGAGCTAAATAATTTTGGCTCGAACCTGAGTCAAGATCGGCTCAAGCTCACATCCCGAGCTCGGGTTGAGTTTTGCTATTATTAATTTTTGTAGGTTTGACCTTGAATACGATGTTCGAACTCGAGCTAAAAATAAAATTTCTATTTTCAAAATTATCAATATTATATTTATTCATACAAATAAATAAATAAATAAATAAATAAATAATATCTAATATTTGTACTTCATCGCTCTCAATTTTTAGTTCCTCTATCATTCACTCACATTTTTACTCCTTATTTTACTATCAATTAAATTTTGAAATATATAAATAAATAAGCATCAATAAATAAATATAATGTGTGTATATATAATCACATATATATTACCTAATTATTTATATATATGTGTGTGTGCGTGTGTGTGTGTTATGGCCGGCTCGCGAGCTCACGAGCTCAAAGGAATTGAGCTCGGCTCGTTTGCTTAATGTGCTGGTTTGAGTTCGAGTTTGATCAAACTCGAGTTGAGTTCTGACGGAGCCGCTCACGAGTAGTTCATGAGCGGCTTGACTCCTACTTGTGATATTATTGCTAGAGCAGTATAAACTTTTGTTGTAAAAATTGATACGATTTTGCCGTTTTGGGAGATGATACCCCCCCCCCCCCCCAAGAGCAGTATAAATTCTTGTTTCCTAGTTTATTATTATTGTGGAGGATATTTGTGTGGAGGATTGATCCCTTTTCATCTTTTTTCTTTTCTTTTATCTTTTTATCTTCCTTTTCTTTTATACGTTCTTTATTCATTCATACTTTTTATAGTAATATATATATTCTTTTTACCCTTTTTTATCGTATCGTTTTTATCTTTGTCTTACCCTATCTTTTATCTTTCTTATTTTTCTTTTCTTTTTGGCTCCGATATTATGTATTGGTTCATGTTAGTCGATTCCAAAATCTTTTGGGACTAAGGCTTGGATGTTGTTGTTGTTGTATAATCACCTAATACTTATTGTTCCAAACATATTTGTAATGAAACAGGACAAGGTCGATGAAGAAGAGGAGAGGTTACTGGAGGCCTTTTTATCAACAAATGAGCGTCCCCAGAGGACTCTGGCTGATGTTGTTATTCAGAAGCTAAAAGAAAAGGATGCTCAAGCTTCTATGGGTTTGTTTTAGATTTTTTAATGCTCCTAACCTCTTAATAGTTATAAACATGCCACAATATAGCTCTAGTATGGATATGAAAATTAACCTTTTGGCTGATAACGAGTTTATAAATCAGCAGAAATACAGATATTCAAGCTTTTATGTTTTTTAAATGTTAATAACATGACAATTGATGACCTTTTCACTTCATAGTTTAGGTTATGCCTGCGAAATATGATATTTTTTCTCTGTTTTTATCAGCAGATCTGCAAATTTATTCTTCTTATTTAACATTTATTTATTTATTTAATGCAGAACTGCAATTGATGCCCAAGTTGGATAACTCTATTATTGAGTTGTACAAAGGGTACATCATGTTTTCCTGTTCGGTTGTTTATTTTGTCTACAAACTGTTCCTGATCAACTGATTTTGAGAGCTTACTTTGAGATGTTCTGCAGGGTTGGCAAACTTCTTAGCAAATACACGTCTGGGAAAATTCCAAAAGCTTTCAAACATGTACCTTCATTGAAGTACTGGGAAGATGTCTTATATTTGACTGAACCAGATAAGTGGTCACCAAATGCTATGTACCAAGCCACACGAATGTTTGCTTCAAATATGGGGACCAAAAAGGCAGAACGCTTTTACAAGCTTGTCCTGCTTCCTCGCGTTAGGGATGATATTAGAAAAAACAAGAGATTGCATTTTGCTCTCCATCAGTCATTGAAAAAAGCTCTTTTTAAACCGGCTGCCTTCAATAAGGGAATCCTGTTTCCGTTGTGTGAGGTATTACTATTATAACATTGGAACAGTTTTTCTTTGCAATGACAGTAATATATCTCTTTTCCCTAAAAGCAAATTCCCCCATTCCAATATATTGCTCCCTATTACTTTATGCATGGGCTATGAAGTAGTAGAAGTATGTAACATATCATGTTATAGAAGGGTAGTTTAGAAAAATTAGAAGGTTATTGGTGTTCAAAAAGAAAAGTCAACATGCTTGTCTGATGAAAAAAAGAACAGTAAGACTTATGAAATGGGACAGATGGAATATTTATATTTATGTGTGTGTGTGTATGTATGGATACACACAGTACCAGATGTCCTCATATTCTACAGATAGATGCTGTAAACATTTCTTTTTCTCAATCTAATCAATCTGCTTTTGTGGGAATTTGTTTATGTGATGCTAGTCACGAACTTGCACGATAAGGGAGGCTGTGATAGTTGGGAGTGTTATTCAGAAGACATCTTTTCCTCCCCTCCATGCTAGGTATGCAAGCTATCAGTTTAGATGCGGTGTACGTCTGTACTTTCTTGTAGTCTTATTCGTGCTTGAGAGTAACTAATGCTTAAAGCTTAAGGAATTTCTGATATGTTTTTGAAATGGACCTCATTTTTATGAATACATTCCTTTCTTAGAAGGTAGGAGTTTACGTTGCAGGTTAGGAAGGCATTTTCTTTTTTGTTTTCTTTCTTTTGACATATGTGCAATGGAAACATTTTGCACATGAGTGTAATGTAAATACATGCTACCTCCATCCCGAAAAGAAGTTCCCACTTTCCTCTTATGGATGTCCCAAATAGAAATTCTCATTTCTATAAAAGGAAACCACTTTCAAGTAAAAAGTCATAATTGCCCTTACTTTTTATCTACTTTTCTTTGATTTGACATAAAGTAAGGATATACTTGGAAAGTCAAAATAAAACTATATCCTACATAAATATGTGTGTAGGTCAAACCGGGAACTTAATTCCGCGACGGAGGGAGTACAATGCATAAATCATAGAGATAATTTAGTATGGATCAAGTCTTTCGGATAATCTTTCTGTAAATGAAAGTAAAGTTGCATATTTCTTTGTCTCCTATGCTTTAATTGTTCTTGTAGCCCTTGGCAACACGCAGTTACTAAAATTTACTGTATGTGTTGTTCCTTTTTAAACAAGCAATAATGTGATAATTGGTTAAATATATCCTTGAGATGTGTGTTGCTATTCCGTGGTATAATAAGCACATGTAGTCTTTTTGTTTGCTTAGTAAGAAAGGTCTTAGAATCTTAGCTATGTATTACGTGAGTTATGAATCTTATTCTAATTGTGTTTTCATTTATGGGCCTTGTTGACCAACAAGGACCCTTAACATATTTTATAAGAGGTAAGATTACCAATATCATATGAAGCACAGAAACTCTCCATGGCTCACGCTTCCCCATTTCAAAAGCGTGCCGAAAAAATGTTCATATAAATGAAAAACCTTTTATACACATCTGAAAAGTATTTATAAATATATCCTTATTTTTCTAATATTTACGTGTTTCCCCCACATTTCATATCCGATATTGTTTAGAAATCTCATTTCGCGTTTCCCACTTAGCCTACATCTCCTTTGTTTGGCCAAACTTTTCAAATTACAAATAACTGTCCACGAGCAATCGTGATGCAAGAGTTCTTCTTGCACCAGCTCTTGTGTGCAGTATAATCATGGGGGAATGAGAATGCTTTATATGCAGGCTTAGTTTAGAAAAGTGCGCACTAGGCGTGCACACTAAGCGCACACCTTCCTCCCTTCTTTCTTTGTTTCGCGACTCAAGAGGCGAAAACACCAGAGCCCCAATCGTCAATTTTACACAGTACAACAACAACATTACCCTAGTGTTGCAAAGGCTGCCACCTACGGTGGGGTAAGGGGGGTTCAGACGTATGCAGCCTTACCTCTATCAAATTTACACAGGGATTGTTGTAAATTTGACGATTTATTTGCCAGTCGCAATATATTTGCCGTAAGTTTCCTAGAGTTTTCTTTTTCTGTGTAGTACTCCCAGAGTCCCAATCCACCATATTTCTTCTTATTGATCACAATTCACAAATCAAAATCTTCCCCTGCTCTATCACGATTTATTTGCCTACTTATTTGCGGAGTATTTAGTAAGAGGTCAAATTCTTCCCAGAGTCCAAAACCACTCCATCTCTTATTCATCACAAATTAAATTCTCCCCCTTCTGGCCTTCTCTTAGTATGTTGTGTTTCATGTAAATTTTTATCTTCTCCGCTTAATCATTTCCTATGTTCCTACTTCCCTCAATTTCTTATTATTTTCCATGTGCTATATTCTCCCGTACTCCTGCTCTTTTGCCCCATTCGGCAGTCGCGGATAGATCAGTTTGTGCTCATGTTTTTTTTTACTTTATTCTTACTTCATCAATTAATATCAACCACTAAAACTCACATTTCTTAATAACCATGCCACCTCCTCATGTCCCCGTGTTAGTGGGACGGAGGTAGTATAAGTTAATTATTTGCGTAGTATGTGTGCATGACTATATGTGTTATCAACCTATTTTTGTATTCTAAAGAGAAGCCTTCATATTTTGACTAGAAGTCTTAACGCTAATATGTAATCGTTCTGATAGTCTTAAGACCAGAAGCCTTAATATAATCTTTCTGATTGTGACTAGTAAGCCTTAATTTGTACCCAATCTGATAGTCTTAAAATTAGTAGCCTTATGTTTTAACCATGTAACCAAGTAAGTGAAGTAACTGATATTTTTTAAGTCCAGGACACATTAAATTAGTAAATGTAGACTTTACATTATGAACTTTAGTTAAATCAGTAAACCTTAAGCTCCAGAAAACAATCATTCTGATTGTTTCTCGTGGTATATATACGATTTTATCATTATTTTTGGATAGAAGGTATCATGCACAAGTTGTATATTGTTAGCAAATCTGTAAGCTGAAGTTCTATGAGGTGCGCACCTTCACCTCATGCCTCGGCTGGATTTAACAAAAATGCCTCATAGCGCCTCATGCCTTTTAAAACTAAGTATGCAGGAGTCTTCTCAATAAGCCTCTGCATGTATCACTGATTGCTTATACAGTTATACTATTTCCCAATTGCTTTCCCGACTCCTTCAACAGCTCACTATTACTTTTTAATCTTAACATTTCAACCTCTTTCACAGATATAACTGTCACCTGTGGCTTTTACGTCATCTGATGCGAATAGAACATATTTTAATAAATAATTCCAAGGAATACTTACATGCTCATTTTGTGGGTACTCATATTTTAGTTGAGCTTCTATGTATCTGTATCTGCTATGTCATGCCTTGTATGTTTTTCACTGTAGTATTTCTATGTTGCTTCATTATTGTTGCAACAACAGAGTAACAGACATTATGAGTTTTTTTTACTTCAACATTTGCAGTGTTGCACTACTGAAGCTTGCTCAAATGGAATACTGTGGCACAACAAGGTACATAGATATCTTTATTCTTTCTTACTTTATTGTATATGTTACTGTATAACTTTGGGACTTGGGTTGTAGACTCATGGGTTTAGCTCGACGGGTCACTATCAAATTTGGTACATATGTTTTATCTTTAGGCATTTTTCCTTGCCAAAGTATGCTATTAGAATATATATTTTTATTTAGGAATATTGACTTAAAATATGAATAATAAGCCGTCAATTTCCTTAAATAGGAGCATTTTTAAATTACTCCCTTAAAGGAATAAGGAGTATTGATGCCTAAAAAAGCAAGTTACTCCGTAATTTTTAATAGGAGTATTTGTACTTCTATTATTTGTTTAATATAATATCATGAGTCAACAATGACTCGACTGTTACTCTATAATTACTAAAAAGTACACAAGGGTGTACAATTACTCTACTCAGAACATGCACACAGACTTGAGAAAATTACAGTAATTAGAGTCATCAAGGTTATAAGGTAATATTGGAAGTTTAAAAATAGGGGGAATTTGACTTTGCACCCCACATTTGGGATGAAATTGGACTTTGCACCCCATTTAAAAAAACTTTGATTTTGCACCTCATTTCACTTCAAAATTCTTTGACTTTGCACCCCATTTTGAAATTTTCCTTCACAAATTTTAGATGATAGGGTGCAAAGTCAAATGTTTTTAAAAATGGGGTGCAAAGTCCAATATTACCCAAAAAGTGGGGTGTAAAGTCAAATTCTCCCTTAAAAAAAATTTAGTTTAAAAAAAGAATATGAATATATGGTCCTAGTGGAATACCTAATCTTATTGCTCTTATCTGAGGCATTTTTTTTTTTTTTTGTGTGTTCTGCTGCAGCTACTTGATACAGGTATTGATTGAGAAGAAATATGCGTTGCCATATCGAGTACTCGACGCCATGGTTGCTCATTTCATGAAATTCTACTCAGAGTCGAGGATTATGCCTGTAATATGGCACCTATCACTTCTTTGCTTTGTGCGAAGGTTAGAATGCTTTTATGTTTTCCCATGTGTTGATGACCATTAATTAATTTTTTTTTATTTCTTTTAAGTTATATATATTTCTTTTAAGTTTTATATTATTTTGCTGTTCTCTTTACTCACTCTTCTACCATCACAAACTTGCACACATTGCAGAGTGTTGCAATACCCTACGCCAAGTACTAAAATGAAATGATTTTTACAGATACAAAGCTGATTTACGGAAGGAGGATAAAGCTAACATAATCAATTTGGTGGAAAGACAAAGGCATCATATGGTATACTATATTATCCGATAGTGTTCTATATATTTTACTTCTGCAGTGCTTTAATGTTGTGCTATTCTCTATTTGTCAATTGCAGATTACTACAGATATACTGCAGGAGTTGAATAACAGTCGAAGTCGCGGGGAAAAGGAGGATGATCCTATGCCAATAAATATCCTTTTTTAATCAAATATATGTGCAATGGCTTCTTTTTGCCAATTAAACATACTAAAACTCACTTGGAACATTTTCATGTATTTACTTTTAAACATTATGTCATTTTGGGGGTCAAATTAGGCTTACTCAACTCACATTGTTTTTCTTGACATAATATCACCTAGTCCTGTTTCTATTATCACTAAAACGATTGAAGAAGATAGGTTTGATATCCCAGAAGTTCCTATGGAAGAGGATTAGAGTTCATTGTAGCGGCTTTGTTCTCTTTTTTCCGGTAATGCTTGCATCCCTTCTTAGATATATGCTTTGTTGTCAGCTGTAGTAAAACAGTGCTTAGTGTGTTTGTATAATGTACTATACAATACAGATCATGATGGGATTGACATTTGAGTGGTTGATCAGAATGAAGTCTTGCTGCATTTGATCATTTAACTATTGTATTTGCAGTGTAGTACTGTAGTGTATGAGCAATTTTTTTCTCTACAAGATCTGTGATAGGCGAATACTCCATGAGTTTTGATGTGTTTTTAACACTAGTAAATGTTATTCCAGGCACTTGCTTCAAAACAGTCGATGTGCTAAACCACAAATGTTATCCTTTGGCTGTGTGCACCTTATTTTTTTTGGTCTTTACATCTATTACATTATATTGATGGAGTTGTTTTAGGAATATAAGGGCCGTTGTTGACAGGATTAGTAGAGGTGGCTGAATACACTAGTAGGATTATTGAAAGCTACAATGGCCATAATCCTTGATCATAAAAGTGCCTGCAAATGTGTCTCATACTTGCATGAGAGGTATGCATAAAATGAGAAACCAAATACATTGCGCCTATGTTTAAGGAACCGGACTGAACAATGACTCGTTTGGAGTACCGGGTCGCGGGTCAACTGTTTCGTATTAAATGTTGTTAGTTATTTAATGGTGGGCTGCTTGGATTCTCATGATTTAAGGGAAAGTCCCTGAAAAAGAACAAACAGTTTGAAAATTTCAAAATAGGACTTTATTTCCAAAATAAGAGTAATTAAATCCCTTGTGACACCCATATTTATCAGCTGAGTTATACCCACCGGCTGAACCATCTTTCATAATGTTATGGCAAGGTGGTCGTACTCTTTCTCCCTCTATAGTCACATTAATTGTTATATTACTTCCATTGCTCTATAATGTATATAATCAGTCCTAGTTACTAGTCTGTCACTTATTACGCTTTATTACGCTTTTTAAGAATGTTTTTGTTGGGTGTGTTTCGAAAAATAAAGAAAATTAATTAAAATAAATTAATTAAATAAAATGACTAGTGGAAAACAAGAAAAGAGATGAAGCAGAATTAGTCAAAGCTCGTGCTACGCACGATGTCTTTAAAACGTATTTGTTGCCTCCCACGATGCTAGAAGTGTTGCAACAATCGTTTCTCAGGACACTATGACTACGAATTAATGTTTGAGCACATAAACAAGAGTTCCAACGAACGAGAACAAAGTATGAACTCTCAGGAATTTTTCAAAGAGACTGAAGGTGTTTTTAGCTGAAGAAATACGTGAGCTCGTGTATGAACGTGTGTTGTTGCAAACCACCTGCCAACTAGGGGTGGACCCGGGCCGGGCCGGTTCCGGTTCCGGGCCGGGCCCGGGCGGGCTTTTTTTCGGGTTACATGGGCCCGGAACCGGCCCGGGTTGATACCGGGTCCGGGCCTAACCGGGCCGGGCCGGGCCGGGCCCGGTTCAATGTTTTTTTTTTTTTTTTTTTTTTTGACTTTCTTGTTATCTCCCTACCCCCCCCCCCCCTCACCCCCACGCCCCAAACCTCCCTAAAACACCCAGCCCTACCCTAGGAAAAGAAAAAAAATTGAAAAAACCAAAAAAAAAAAAAAAAAATGAACCGGGCCCGGCCCGAACCGCCCGGGCCGGTTCAACAAAAACAGGGCCCGGAACCGGCCCGCCCGACCCGCCAAAACGGGCTAAAAGCCCGGAACCGGCCAACCGGGCCCGGTCCGGTTCGGGCCCGCACAGTAGCGGGCCGGTCCGGTTCCGGGCCGGTTCGGCCCGGCCCAGTCCATCCCTACTGCCAACCATTACATAGGAGGATTTGTTGTGTGTAACTGTTGAATTAATGGACCTGAACGTTAGACATCAATGACCAGTCCGTTGGGCATTGAATCGTCCATGAACTGTCCATTTAATGCCACATTAAAAGATAAGAACAGCTCGTGTATGAACGTGTGTTGTTGCAAATCACCTGCCTTCCATTATATAGGAAGATTTGTTGTGTGTAACTGTTGAATTAATGGACCTGAACATTGGACATCAATGACCAGTCCGTTGGGCATTGAATCGTCCATGAACTGTCCATTTAATGTCACATTAAAAGATAAGAACATTGGACATCTATCTATTGAGAGATAGATTTTTGGACGACATTCGTGTCCGCAGGTCGCCCGCGCACGCAAGTCGCGATTTTTCTTCTCCGATTTCGGGATTTGATTTGCACCCCCCTACGCGCGTGGAGAGAGCCTTTACCCTTAGGAATCTTAACTCCATAAGGGGAAGTCCCTTTATAAAAGGTTGCAAATCCTTTGGGTTTTCCGGTGTGGGAAATAACACACTAGAAACTCATCCCTTTTCCCAATTTTTCTATTCTAACGGGTAAACTTCGAGAATCAATTTCTCATTCACCCGTTATCCGTTTTGAGCGTACCATATATCGAATTGTAGCCCTTAACAATAGGGATGGACTCGGGCCGGGCGGCCCGGTCCGGAACCGGCCCGGCCCGGTTACTGTTTGAACCGACCCGGCCCGGGAACCGTTCCGGGGGGCGGTTCGGGTCGGCCCGGCCCGGTTACTGTGCGGTTCGGGCCCGGGCCCTTTGATTGGTGAACCGGCCCGGCCAATTCGGGCCAAATTAATTTTTTTTTTGAATTTTTTTTAAGTTTTTGGGTTGGGCTTGGTATTTTGGGCCATTTGAGGTGGTTTGGGGTGGTTTGGGGGTGAGGGGGGAGGGTTGGGGGTTAATTAGATAAAGCCAAAAAAAAAAAATAGAACCGAGGCCCGGAACCGGGATCACCCGGGCCGGTTCCGGGCCTCCCATTTCTGAACCGAGGCCCGGCCGGGCCCAGGCCCGAACCGGAACCGGTCCACCCATACTTAACAAGGACAATCCGAAACCACTTTGACCCGACCCAAATCGAATGTGGACCCTACTCAAAAAATTGCCCCAAAATTACCATTTAATGCAATTTTCAACACATTTTTCCAACAGTTTTTACTTGCAATAGTTTTAGTCCCAAAGTCGAATATATCAGACTAAATCAGACCAGACTTCAACGATTGTAAAAGTCACAAAGACCAGATACTCCGTATCTAGTAGACCTGACCAATCCAAACAAAAAATGTCAATCCAATTTAAAACATTCTAAGAATACCTTTTTATTTCCTATTAATCTCCTTGGCATATATGAATATTATTGACCACTTCTGACTTCTACCACTAGGCCGTGCGGTTAAACAAGTTGTTCAAGACGAAAGCACATTGTTCATGCGCATTTTTCTTAAGTATTAAATATAAATGGTGTCATTTTAGTTGTGAGAGTATGACGGTCACCATGGTCGACTCCCACATTACCATATTTCACCCCCAATTTACTGATGCAAAAAACAACAGATTTGTTGCGGACTCGTAAAATGATTTATTATAATTTATGTAACTAACACGATTTATCAGTTATCACAAATCTGACCCTCAAGCGGTTGATCACTTGAGCTTATACTAAATTAATTAAAGATAATAATACAAGGACATATTATGCTCTCTACTTTTCATTCGGGTTACTTGGACTACACTAAATTATTGTAGTACTCTACTTCATTCTAATAACGTGCAATCTTATTTTGGTGAGGTGTCATAAAAGTCCACATGTATATTTTCATGGAGTTGATCAATCACGATGGTGACTTCATAATTTTCAGAAAAAAAAAAAAGGGTTCGTTGAAGTTTTGTCCATATTACACATGCAAGACATAACATACAGTATTAAATTAATACTTCGTATATAAGATCATCGAATATATCTCCCAGTAACAGATTTGGAATTTATGCTACTCGGGGAAAATTATTTTGATTTTATAAACTAAATAACTTTCCATAATTTTAGTTATAACAACACAATTATTATATATTTCAAAAAGAAAAAGAATATAATTATTACTATGTATAATTAAACAAAACGCGTTATATTACGTTATTTACGTGAGATATTACCCAAAATAGGACAAAAAAGGTTTGAAAATTCCAAAATAGGACTGTCATGTTTTTATTCTCAAAATAGGACTAATTACTGTCATGTTTTGGCAGTACCAGACTTCAAACATGACAATATTTTTCAAACATGACAGTAATTACTCTTATTTTGGGAATATAAAACTTGACAGTCCTATTTTGGAATTTTTAAACTGTTTTAATCATATTTCGGGAACTTTCCCTATTTACGTAGGTAGTGCAATTGACAAACATATCATGAAGTCTCATTCGTGTTATAGTTCGAATTCCGTTTATATTAACTGACACGATTTAACATTTCTAAGTATATGTTTGTGGAGTGCTCTTCTCATCAGGCCGGCCTGACGGGATGCTCCGTCCGGCCGAGCCCATTTGGGCACCTTCCCGGTGGAATTTTTTGATGAAATTTTTTGAGCATGTTCCTCATCAAGTCTAGTTTGTTCATACCAAATTTCAGCTCAAAATTCGATCGGGAAGGTCGTCAAATGATTTTTGCAACTTAACTGGTCTGGAATATGTATTTTCCGGACCAGTTAACTTGCAAAAATCATTTGACAACCTTACCGATCCAATTTTGAGCTGAAATTTGGTATGGACAAACTAGACTTGATGAGGAACATGCTCAAAAAATTTCATCAAAAAATTCCACCGGGAAGGTGCCCAAACGGGCTCGGCCGGACGGGGCAGCCCGTCAGGCCGGCCTGACATGAAGTTTCATCTATGTTTGTGTATATTACGTGTTTGGTAATATCGACTTGTACCATTCAAGCTTTTAGCTGCAGATAAAAATGTACATGTATCAATGCTTTTTAATTAGATGAGCAAGAACGGTATCATTAAAATTAAGTAGCATGCATGATTGATTTTATGAAATCATGTTATTTGGTGAAGCAAAACAAAATTCAATTATATACGTAGTATATACTACTCCATCCGTCCCAATTTAAAAGAGCCTCTTTGTTTTACACACAATTTAAAGAAGTGATACTGTTTGACACCGTTTCGACACTGTTTAACAATGTTTTGCACTGTTTTGTTTACTAAATAAGGAAAGAGAGTCTTTTAAATTGGGACAGGTAGTGCATTTTTAATGTGGTTTAAATATACTACTTGTACGTTTTAAATATGCTAGAATAAATATTGGGGTTTTGTAAAAAATATTACTAAAATAAAAGCTTTGGACAAAAAAGTGAACTTTTTAAAAAATTCCAAAAATAAGACTAAAGATAAGTTAAGAGACTATTATACCCCTTGTCCCCTTATTTCACTCACTGA